TTACTAACTTGGCCTTCACCACTTTTGCACCATATCCACTTGACCACCGGCCGGCTAAAGTGAGATACGTGCGTTCGACAGGGATCTTGTCACCTTCGACGCGTTAAAATATATTTTAATAGGCAAGCTTTTGGAAAAGAGTCTACTTCTAGAACGTTTCGAATAAGACCTGTACGGAGGTGCAGAGGGAACACATTAAAAAAACGCTAAAATTATTGGACTGACCCCAAGGGTAAAGGGGTGTAAATCAAAAAAAACCGATTAAAACTATATTGTTTATTACATATAAACCTTTAAATGAATAGGGTAAGTTTTAGCCATGATATATTAAATAATAAGTTTTTAATGCATAAAATAAGAATAAAAAAACGGGGGGAGAAACAGAGGAGAAAGAAAGAGGGAAAGAAAACGGGAGGAAAAGGACGGAAGAAAAGAAAGAAAAGAAAGAAAAGAAAGAAAAGAAAGAAAAGAAAGAAAAGAAAGAAAGAAAGAAAAGAAAGAAAAGAAAGAAAAGAAAGAAAAGAAAGAAAAGAAAGAAAAGAAAGAAAAAGAAGAAAAAGAAGAAAAAGAAGAAAAAGAAGAAAAGAAGAGAACGGGGGAAAAGGGAGGAAGGGAGGGAGGAAGGAGGGGAGGAAGGGGGAGAAGAAGGGGGGAAGGAAAAGAAAAAAAACAAAAGGGGAGAGGAGGAGAGGAGGGGAAGTGAGGAAAAGAACGTAAATTTAAAGTGAAGGAAAATAAAATTAGGATTGATAAGAAAGAAAAAAAAATAATTTAAAAATAAATATTATAAAACATTAATAAAAAAAAAAAAAATAATTAATAAATATTACGTAAATAATTAATAAACGCACAAATTAAAAAAGTTTATATTATCGTATTATTTTAATTTATTAAAATGATTTATTAATTTTATAAATAATAAATTTTATTTTTAAAAATAAAAAAATAAATATAATATAATATAAAAACATTTATATTTTTAAAAAAAAATTATATAAATAATTTAAAATTATATATAAATTTTACTATATCACGTTTATTTTTATCGATTTATTTCATTAAGTTATATATATTCGCTTATCGAATTTTAAAAAAAATATGGTTATACGTGGGGGTGGGTATAATGACAAATTTTGGGTTTTTTTAATGTGTTCCCTCTGCACCTCCGTAGACCTGCTAGGATCATCTCGAATCAACCGCAAGCCGTTGTGTTATATCCGGAAGAGAAGAGACTATAACCGAGTTAAAAGATGGCTACTGTAGAGAAACCGTTTCGTATCGTAATTGTCGGAGCCGGACTCGTGGGTCTTACTGCAGCACATATATTATCCAAAACGGATATCGACTTTGTTATACTTGAACGACATGAGAATTTAACACCCGAACTTGGCTCTCTCCTAAGCTTGTGGCCGCCGACATTTCGCATTTTTGACCAATTAGATCTACAAGATAAATTGGAGCCTGTTCTTAACCCTATCGACAATGGAGTCACCATGTCTGCCGACGACGGGTCCATATTCACATCGTGGAACCCCGGAGAGTTGATCAAAAAAAAGTACGTCAATCCAAAACCAAGGTAATGAGTATGGAACCAAGCTTATAGTTATCGTGATCTAGCCACGGGTACGGATTAAAGGTTACTCATCGCCCGCTCTTCATTGAAGCCTTATATCAAAGCCTGCCTGACAGTGCGAAAGCACGAATCAAGGTCAAGAAGCACGTCTTCAAAGTAAACGTGTCAGATGATGGAGTGGTCGTCGAGTGTACCGATGGTACCGTGGAAAGGGGCTCCATTGTGATAGGTTTAGACGGCGTTCACAGTAGAGTTCGCCAATGCATGCAGGCGATGGAGGAGGGTAGGGCAGCTCCGAGCATATCGGAAACCCCTAAGAGTCCCTACGTCACCACATACAGGATGGTCTTTGGAAGTATACCTATTCCTCCGACATTACCAAATAATGTCAATCACGAATGCGCGTCAGGACGTGTATCAACTCAGCTTCTCACTGGTAACTCTCTAGCATGGTTCGGCGTGTATGAAGCGCTTGATAAACCTACGTCAGAACGCATCAAATATACCGAAAAGGATAAGGAGGAGGCCATACAGAGATGGGGACATCTGTACACCGCTCCCGGCATGAGAGTGCGCGACGTTTTCGGCCTACAGGATGGAAACTTTGGTATGATCAACCTGGAGGAGGGTCGTGTAGACAAATGGTATTGGAATCGTATCGTCCTCGCAAGTGATGCTATTCGGAAACTAGAGCCTCACGCCGGATTAGGATATAATAGCGGTTTGGCCGATGTAGTTGTCCTCGTGAATAAGCTCCGACGCTTACTCGAGACTACTCGGTCACCGGATACGAAAGCCTTAGAAGCGGTATTCGCCGACTACCAGGAGGAGCGGAAAAAGGATGAGCCAATAGTTCATGACATGTCCATGCGTCGTGCTCGAGCTTACGCGTGGCTCAGCCCAATGGATAAGATCATGACTAAATACATCATCCCTTACACTAGCTTCGGAGTATACAGCACAAACCGCATATATGGGCCAGTCGTCTCCCGTGCCCCTGTCCTGGATTGGCTGGAAGAGAAGTCTGATACCAAAAACTTGAAAATACCTTACGCCCACCATCCTATTGTCAAGGGGAAGAAGTCAAAGAATGCGTTATCAAGGAACCATAGCTACTACAATCCATCAGCCTATATCGGAGTGGTCATTGCGGCTGCTCTTACTGGAGTGGGACTCCAGTATTACCATAGGATCTTGACAATGATAAGTCCCAAGGCGACCTAGAAATGAGAAGATATAGAGCCTTTTTCTTTCTTATTTCATACGTAATATATGGAAGAGGACGGGTGTAGTGACTGCAGACGGTTCTACTCCAAGATATGTCCTTAACATTAATGCATTAGTTATATTAGATATTAGAAAGGGTGGACTTAGAAGAATGAAAGATATGATCTTGCGATCGGGATTTTACCTGGCATGATTTAGGACTCCTTCTCAAGTCGCATTATAGGTACACGGGCGTCGAAATAATGCGCCCATAACGATCAGAGTAAACGTAGGGACTCGAGCTTGCTAATCCAACGAACCTAGAATCTAGTAAGTACCTCCTGTATAAATCTGCAAAGTCCTCTAGACGGACGACTCTTACACGGTCCTATTATCAGTCTCACGATCGAACCCTCCTCTCCATACCAAGATATCCTCCATATCCAGGCCCTGCTTCGTATTAGGCTTACCCTGTGCAAGACGTAGCTTTTCGAAATATACCTCATATGCGGTATAGAATACAGTGCTCTTAGTTCCTGTTTTAGCACCGTAGCCACGACGGAAGTCGTTAAGTTGTTTGGACTGGATGCACTTAACCGTGGGCGCATTGAGCTGTGCATACAGATCACGACATAATTATGACTGTGTTACTCTCGGGGTTTCCCAGATGCGCATTGATCTTCCGTCGAATCTCGTCGCATGAGTCTATCTCCTCATCGTCCAAGCAGATGTGCTTAATGTCCGAGAATAGAGCCGCCATTGATGACACCTTGGGACGCTACTTGCATATGCTTGAACTCGTAGAATTGGCCTTTTGCGTTTACTTCTTGTTCGTATTCGGCATCGCTGACTTCGCTGACTTCGCTGTTTGGCGTTGCTTTAGCCATGTCTAAGTGTTGTGATATGCGAAACTATTCTGGCCATTTTTTGGGCTCGGTTTATCTCAGAAAAGTACCTAATTCAGGGTATTTGTACTGCACTCAATAACTTGAGAAAATTCGATCTTGTTCATTATATTGACCTCGAGTAACTTTCCGATCCAATTACGCACAATGTCGTAACTAAGCATCATCTCGTCTTCGAAAATATCAGAACCAACGATGGCGTCTAGGTTACGATTGAGAGCTGCGAGTTCCTCTTCGAATGACATACCCGCCTTGCGCTTCTTACTCAATGATTCATTTCTTGTCATAATACCCTTCGTATTCGTAAGCTTAACTTTCTCTGATGCAGTCCTCGGTCGCACAGCTGCAGCCTGTACACTTCTGGCTTTTGGTTTTCCATTTCTTCGTGGTCTATATTGTAAAAAAAAAAAAAAAAAAAAAATTCATTTGTTAGTAGTGGGACACGCGTTGTATTCTAGAAGAGGCGTTTGGACCAGCGTAGCGGGCATAGGGCCTATTTACGCCTGGAGTTCCGTGCGCTAATGACGATCAGCTTTCTAGATACTATACGGATGCAATTTGAATAGCATCACTTAAAATCTAGCAAATGTGAAATATATTCAAATATAGGTAATTATAAAATAGAATTGTAGCCTTTTTTTAGCCATCGAAATAGAAACCAATTCGTTTCTCCCCCGGGTACCTTTACCACTCCCTTTTCATTGTCCTTTCAAGCACAACACTTGAATTTTCAAATAAATAAATTTCACAAATTTAACCCAGAAGGAATCTCTAACAATCTTTAACCAAAGACATTTCAAGGAGTTAAGGGAAGGGAAGAAGATAACGACATACTCTTGTGACGAATATCTAGAAAACAGTCTAAGAAACCTAAGTTGCCCTAATCTTCATTTACGGATATGAAGTACAAAAGGATATGAGCTTTCTTTATAATACTATTTAAGAATAGATTAATCGCCTCAAGTCATTTGAGGTAAAGATAGAATAATTATGAAGATGGATCTTTCCCGGCTCTCGGGTATATCGTTTACCATTGCCTATCTCCATACATCCTTTCCCCATAGTTAGAAGAACATAAAACTACAGGCACTTCTTGGAACATATTAAGTAATAGGGTTCGTTAAATTTAAGTTGAGTCTTAATCGAGGTGACGAAAGTGGCAACGACTTCTACTAGGTGCTAATCGTCTGGTTTCTAGACTTGATGGGCGGATGATGATCTTCCAGCTCTGTGGAATTGCCGAAACAACCCCACACAAAATTCATATGGCTATTCTCTTCGAGTACGACAGTATCATCTTCTTTGCCGGTTTTGACATCATGTAATAATTCATATTTAGGAGGAGCTACCCCGACTCGCCCCAGATGTAAGAATGGCAGTTATCTCAAGTTTCCCTTCCTCTTCTACTTGGTACCAGTTCCCATAGGCAATATTGAAGATGTTGAGACTCACTCTCGTCGCTCTAGGGCTCCTTGCAGCTCAGGCCGTAGCACAATGCACCCGCGAAGACCTCATTGCTGCTACTGATAGTCTCCTTGCAGCACAGACTGCGGGAACTCCCGACACGGTAGCTCCTCTGGCCGACACAGTGGTCTACTTGGAAGCATTTAAGACGGCTGATATCAAGACTGGAATACTGTCTCACGCGCTCAATATTGACTTCAACCGTAGTCTCCACGACACCACCCAATGCGCAACTTACACCGAGATCGTTGTCACAGACAAGGCGCACCCGTACGTCATAGGCACGCAACTGCGCTTCGCCGACGGAAAGATCGCCAATATCAGCTCTCTCGTTACTGATCAGGGCGATTGGCTTTTCAACGCTACCGGTACCCTCTACTGGGCATCCCAGGAGAAGTGGGACCCAATCCCGGAGGACCAGCGCGACAGCCGCGAGGTGATCCAGGCCGCAGCCGATGCCTACGCCGACCTCTTCAACGACAAGTCCGTACAAGTCCCTTCCCTGGGGACACCCTTGCGCACGTCTTGAGGGTGGTGCTTACACTGGCTCTGGATCCGCCGACGATAGGTGTGATGTCGGTGTTCCCAATGGTAAGTCATATCTATTTAGAACAACGAGGGAATTTGATAGATCACTAACGCTTAATTTGCAGGAGTCAATCTGAGCAACCGTCGTTATGTCATTGACGAGACTCTTGGTGCTGTTGACATCTTCATCGACTTTGCGACTGTTCCAGACAGCCACGAGTTCCGAGTCGAGAAAGGCAAGCTTCGCTACGTCCATACCATAACTGTGATGGGTGGTTAAATAGTGTGAGAGAAAGGTTTCATTCCTGTAGAGAGCCCAGTATTGCAAGTTGATTGAAAAGGAAATGATCGGATACGGATAGCACATGGGAGTATAGGAAATAAAACACTTTGAACAGTCTTACATGAAGAGATAGGGGTCAATAAGTATTCTACCATACTATGACAGATACCGCAGTAATTCATTTTCTAAAATATGCGTCTTTACTCGACGTATCGAGCGATATAACTATGAATATGCTGGGATGCAGCCATCGTGAAGACCGGTAATACCTAGATTAAAGCATTTAGAAACGTATGGATTTGAATGTACCTTGTATACCTAATTTAATGAAGTTGTTAGTTAATCTATAAAAAGTATTGATAAAATATCAAATATATAAACCTACCTACCTGTTATAATATCTTGCTCTGTCTAAGTAAAGATAAGTAAAAACAATTGTAGCCAACGGAAGAAGCACATGGGAAATGGCGAGTCAGGGGATTCGTCGCATTCACCGCTATCGCCGAGACTTTTCACGATAGTAACAAAAGTTGTGTGGCAAGTGGGTCTTATTCAAGATCCACTCCGTTGGGCCCGTTCTAGGCCCCGACGTAATAATCCATCTCACTTTTTTTTTCCTAATTCATAAAACCCTCACCAGTCGCTCGTTATCTTATGTTCATGTTTTTCCCTTTTTTCATTCGTTAGGACATCCACCCCGGAGACGGACCGCGAGTCTGACCGAGGACTCCAATGAACCCAGCGGGTCATCTGCTGTCTCCTACGAGCAGCCTGCCACCTTTACGTTCGTTGACTGCACTCAATAGGGACCGAATATTCTCGGCTCTAGATAACCTTTATGAGTTGTACTGCCCCGTCTCGTTACCACGGGCAGTTAAGTCGCAGCTCGAACATGGGAAGGCTCATGATGATTTACTAGTCCAACCGATCGACTCCGGCTACGTCTCCGAGGATGATATAGATTCGGAATATGATCTTGACGAGTTACGTGCAGACACCTTCGAGCGTAACTTCGCTATTCGCTGGTTGACTACTTTAATCGCCAGCGCGGAAGAGCTACCCCTGAGTAATGAAGACGAGCGCGAGCAGGCGGTTGATAAAGCTTCCTTTATCCTTGCCTCGTTCACCAAACTCGCGGACGGAGATGACGAAGAGGATTCCGGAATTACACGAGAATTTTCTTTCGAACTATCGTTATTCTCCAATCAGGGTTCTCCTGGGTTGAAGGAGTCTGGTATCCGTGAAAAGGTCTCGATAGACGTGCAACTCAATGATGCACCACAAACCTCCACAGATCACACCGATGTTGGCCTACAGAGCTGGGGTGCATCCATTGTTTTCTCTGACCTGTTATGTTCGTCACCAGACCGGCTCGGACTTAATCAAGAAACCCTCGGCTCGTCTCCGCGTATCATCGAGCTTGGTGCCGGGACGGGACTAGTCAGTCTTGTTCTTGCTAAAGCGCTACCTCACTTCGGTGTATCTGATGCCACCTTGATAGCAACAGACTATCATCCGGCTGTTCTTGAGAATCTACAGTCTAATGTCAAGCTCAGCCGGGTAAGCGTAGAGACATGCTTCCTCAATTGGTCCGCCCCTATCTTGGAAGCACCGCTCGACTTATCAGCAGACGTGCTCGTAGCGACCGACGTGGTATACGCACCTGAGCACGCTGTGTGGCTTCGAGACTGTGCGACCCGTCTGCTCGCACCTAAGGGTGTGTTCTGGCTACTCATGACTATACGCCCGAATGGCCGCTTCGAAACTGTGGTTGACTCTGTCGAAGCCGCCTTCAATGGATCATACTCCCAAACCTCAGACAATCGACATCTCGCAATTCTGAACATGGAGGGTGTTGAAAAGCGCCGTGGCGTTGGACGTGGAGATGAGAGTGGATATAAACTATTTAGAATCGGGTGGGCTTAGACGAATAAACTAGAATTAGAAGGGTGTTAGACTTATATAGCTAGACGTATGGCAGAGTTACAGTATAGAGTATTTCAGGGCAGCATACAAAGGCGTACTAGATACCTGAAGTTGTTTTTAATTTAACTATTATATTAATGCTTTAACTATATGAAGTTAGTATATACATGAAATAAAAATGATACCAGCCCACCTCGGAGTTCGAAACTTATATAACTAAGAGTTGTCAAACATAGAGGTAGGTATGAATAGGGAGTGTGATAGTAGATCATGGTATCTACCTATGTAGTACGGAACGCGCCACAGCTATATTACCCACCATCCTTATAGACTTAGAAATCTCGTTACCTCCAATCAGCTGCTCAATCCTAAGACTAAAGAAAGAAATTATTCTGCTCGCTTGACGGAAAAGGGATTTGGCGTGAAGATCCCATAAGGATCAACTCTCTTTCTAATCTCACGAAGTTTGTCATACTTTACCCTATCTTCATAGTAACAGTTCCACACAGCATCCAAATCCCATTCTCCGTACGAGCCCCAGAGCACACGGCGGTCCTCTTTTGAAAAGATACCGTTGGGGCCGATGGCCTCCTCATCGTTCACCTTTTGCCAGTCTTCAGCTCGCGTTTTAGTTTCATCGCTGTGGAAGCAGTCCATTGTGCACAAGATACTCGTGTCTCGCCAGCTGTACGCCGTACCGTTTCCTGCATTCCGCGTGAACATGGAGTTCTTCCCACCGAAACACTGTAGCTGTGCCGACAACCAGCACCGGTTGTGTTCGGGTCGAATGATAGAATCGATACGGTTGACAACCCAGTCGGCCCAACCGTCTTTAGCAAGCGTGTGCGAACGAGTACTGTAAGTACGCTTGACGTATGGGTGTTCAAACTCGCGCACGTTACGGAAAATCCAGTCACCAGTGAGCTGCGACATGGGCTTCTCCTGAACATTGCTGTTACCAAGAATCCAGTCGGAGCCCTCCTTAATACGATCAAACCATGAATTATCGCACACGTCACCACTCTCGAACGGCACCCACTGCGCAAACACGACAATGGTACGCGGCCACGCAATCAGTCCATTTTTGCCGTAGTACTCTGGGTGCTTCCGTGCCATCCACTCGTCAATTCCTGGGCATAGATCGAGTAGAGGAAATGCCGAGCTAAGCACGCTGATACAAAAGTCGTAGTTGCGAGGAAAGTTTTCATTGTCAGACATCTCAACAAGGATGTCAACTAGACGCTTCAAGGTTTGGGTGTCGTAGAGGTACATTGCCTTCATACCCTTAGAGCCGTTATAGTCTTGGTCGCGGTGCATCTGGATAGTGAAATGAGTCAAGACTCCAAGGTTACCGGGACTGCCACCTAAGAAAGCCCAAAAGAGATCTGGGTCAGTAGATTTGGTGATTTCCTTGAAGTTTCCGTCAGTGTCTACGATCTCGAGAGATAGTATGTGGTCCCCGAATAACCCGAAACTACGTCCCAGTTGACCGTAACCTATTTCCTATTAGTAACTGATGCTTTTAAAAACTGCAACTTCTATATGGACTTTCAACAAGGGGGATATTACCTCCAGTTTGTGCGTGTCCGCCGACATGAACCTCAGTGCATTGCCCATGAGGTACAAACAGCTTATGTTCCGTAACCCAAGCATTGAATTCCCCAAGGCTCCAGCTAACGCTGGTACGAGCATATGCCTTTCCATCTTTCTCGAAGATAGCTCGATCCTCTGGACCCCTAAATGAATGCTCTAGGTCCAGCTGAATATTTGGAGCGCTCGTAGACGAAGCTCCACTATATTGGTGGCCGCCTGTCTTGATGGCTACCGCGATTTTCTTCTCTTTAGCATACTTGAGGGTTAGTACAATATCCTCCTTCGTCTTAGGTTGGACAATTAATCCTGGGTTGAGGTCGCGTTCCTTGCCATAAGTTGATGTCGCGTACTGATACTTTACTTCATCGTATTCCTTTGCTCCTGGTATATATTGGTTACCACTGATACCTGTGATGGTTGCCATTGTTCTTGGGATGAATTTATGGATATTGATTTTGCACTTCATACGATGCTGACTATCTGAGGGATATATGCCTCAGTACTTATAGCCTTACACGTCTCTATGATACTCCGATTGTCACGAGGTGGAACTAAACAGCATGGAAACAAATTCGTTGTTCCGCAAGGAACTCTAACAACCTACCGATGGGGTTCACCCGGTGTGCTCAAGAGCTTATCATGTGCCTGACTCAGCTGTCAGCTCACGTCGTACGCATTCGACAATTCTTCACACCTTTAGCACGAGATGTATGATGCGGATATATCTTATTTGGTGGTATGCGAAGTCTTACGTTAGCACAACAAAGGACGCCAGTTACGGGAAGAAACCAGCCTACCACGTATTGTAAGACACTCTTAAAATACTAACCTAATGTATTATCTAGCAGTATTTATTAGTAATTGTAATAGGCAATCATTATTACCTTGTAGCCCAGCCTCACATTACGGTAGGTATTTTACGTAAGAATGACAATGCAGCAACTATTATAATACCTTTAGTTTTTTCGAGCTGAAAGCTAAGGTAGTTCTCTACTTTGAACTGGCGGAAATGAACGAAGAAAATCAATCAATCGATGAGTACCTATTATATATTGTCACATGAACCTTAGGTAGGTGGTTATCATTGCTTTTGCTGATTCAGTGGCGCCGGGGCGAAGACATGTTTTAGATAATAGATAGTCGACCATGTTTCACTTGGTTCGAGTTGGGGGTGAAAGTGGTAGAGTGGATGCAAAGCTGCAAGCCAAAGACCTGCAGATGGAGTGAGATATTTCGGTGTTTTGTTGCCAAGGTCGGTGACCATTACCCTCACCCGGACTGTCAGAAAGCAAACTCTCAGGGTAATCTGTCAGCAAACATGTCGCTATTACCCCGAGATTTGATGATACCACGACCATCTAGAAGTGTGGCTTAATCTAAATTTTTAGCCCCCTACCTAGGTAGCTATTCGTCGTGACTGCTTCTCGTTAGTTTATACATGACTTTATTATGACAGATGGTCTTTAGAATTAGGGGTA